TATATCTACACACACACACACACACACACACACTTATCTAGGATTACATACATATTCACAGCGTCCCAAATACTGCAGGCCTATCTGTTAATGGCGCTTTACAAGAATATAAATTCAAATGTGTAATCCAATAAAAACATTATTATTACTACACAGGGTGAAAGTAACTCAAGACCCTTACTGGTATGGGGCGGGGGCGGCTCTGGCCCCCGGAAGGGGCGGGGCCTCGTGTGGAAGGGGAGGGGCTAGGGGTCAGCATCCCTCAGCCAGCCCTTCCAGGCTGCCTGGTCCATGCTGCCCGGGGTTCCCATGGTGATTTAAAGGGCGGTGTCCGGAGCCCCGAACAGTTTTAAATTGCCGGCCCCAGGGCAGCTGCTCCCTTTGCCCCCCCGCTCGTCATCGGCCAAGGGGGGGGGCAAAAGGGGCAGGTACCTTAAAGCGCTGCAGAGTCCTTTGCCACGGTAGCGCTTTAACGTTGCTGCGCCGCTTCCCCCCTCCGCCCCCGTTGGCAGCACAGCGCTGCCTCGGCAAAGGACCGTCGCTTTAATGTCCCTGCCCTTTTTGCCTCCCCCATCGGCGGCCCTCTGGTAGGGTCCCTGCTGGCAGCAACGTTAAAGCGCTGTCACAGTGTTCGGGGAGATTTTGGCAAACAAGTAAAGTGCCTAAACCACTATTGTGTATTACTAACAGTAGTCAAGTTAACAGGCCATACTGAACCATTCTTGCTTATTGCTAACAAAAATAGCGAAGTCAGCAGGTCGTAAATTGGTCATACAGCAGCCTCAGTGTAACCAGACAGGAGGGGCGGGGGTTTTGGGTGCCACAGACAGGACAGCTTGACCCCACACCCTTCCTGCTAAGAGTGTTAAAATTGCTGATGCATGTATTGTAGAAAAACAAGAAGTCTGTTTATATGTGCCCCCGGGAACGTTTGTCAGGGCCCAAAGGCATGAACACTCTGAAAAAAATATATATATATCTGGTTAATTGGCAATCATAAGGTGTCTGACCTTTTAACCCTACTTGCTTAGCAAGTTTTCTTTAAGGGATATCTCATTGTATTACTAATGTATAAATAAGGGGAAAAAGTTTGAGGTAATTGGATTTCTCAGGAGGGGCTCTTCAGGGATGCTCCCTCTGGACGCATCTTCGGGTTCCCACCAGCAGACGGAAGCCTGGCCAGCTGAAGCCTGTCACAGTGCCACTCGAAAGCCACACTCAGCTTCGGTAATTATCGAGGGTTGGGGGTGTTTCACTAACCTGTTGCGGATGTGTGTAAGTGCTTGAGACTAAGTAAAGTTTAGCTTTAAGTAAAAGCACTCGTGTTGTCCTGTTTGTGCCAGCCAGCCATCAGTTGGACGGCTGTGTCTCCCTTGATTTATTTCTTAATACCACCTCGCACAGAATAAAAGTTACTGAAAGCTTTGGGTTCAAAGAACCCCGGGTAACAGCGGCAGTGCTTTAAGGGCGGTCCTTTGCCGCGGCAGCGCTTTGAGGATCCTTAAAGTGCTGACACAGCAAAGGATCGTCCTTAAAGCGCTTCTGTGGCAATGCTTTAACATTGCTGCCCCTTCCACCACCCCCCCATCAGCAGTAAAGACGTACAACACGTTTCCGCTCTGCACTTCCTGTCGATTTCTAGGTCAGTGAGTTAGTGAGCAAATCTGTAGCGCTACATAGCAAGTTCCTGTACCGCGTGTTAACGAGTCTCATGTGTTAAATAGGTAGCACTGGGAGGCATGGTGCTACCACGCGTTAAGCGGATTTGCATGTAAACGGGTCTGTACTGTAACCACAGATGCGTCCGAACGTGGTGTGGGAGCCGTTTTAATGAAGGAAGGACCAAATCAAAACATCCTGTCGTGTTTCTCAGCAAAAAACTGTCTGAAAGGAGAAGCCACTGGTCAATCAGGAAAAAGGAATGTTACGCCATTGTGTACGCTCTGGAAAAGCTATGCCTATACATTTGGGGACGGTGTTTCCAACTGCAAACTGACCAGGCTGCGCTGAAGTGTCTTCATACCATCAAGAACAATAACAAAAGACTTCTTTGGTGAAGTTTAGCTCTCCAAGATTTTAATTTTAAAATACAACACATTTCAGGAGCTTCTAACATAGTGGCTGATACTCTCCCGTGAAAGTTTCCCAAAATGAACTGGTTAAAATCATCCTTAAAATGTGAAAAATGTTGTTTGTTTTTATATAATCAGTAGTATATCTAAAGATGCATGTGTCTTATTAACTCTGTTTTCTCCTAGAGCTCCAGGAAAAAAATCACAGCCAGTGTGGAGCAGGCTGTCCAGCACTGTCTATGATTTGGGGGGCATGTCATAAACATACAGCTAAGGGTAGCATAAAATCCCTCCTTTACCTGTAAAGGGTTAAGAAGCTCAAATAACCTGGGTTGGCACCTGACCAAAAGGACCAATGAGGGGAGAAGAGTCTTTCAAATCTGTGTGGGAAGGTTTTTGTTTTGTGTTCCTTTGTGTTCTCTCTGAGGAATCAGGGCAGGGAAAATACATCTCCCAAAGCCATACCTGAACTAAGCATCTAAGATTACGTTAGATTATCTTTTGGTTTAGCTTGTGAATTGTCCCTATGCTAAGAGGAAGGTTTATTCCTGGTTTTTTTTTTTTGTAACTTTAAAGTTTTGCCTAGAGGGGAATCCTCTGTGTTTTGAATCTTATTACCCTGTAAAATTACTTTCCATCCTGATTTTACAGAGATGCTTCTTTTACTTTTTTCTTTATAATAAAGTTCTGTTTTTTTAAGAATCTGATTGGTTTTTAGGGTCCTAAAAACCCAAGGGTCTGGTCTGTGCTCACCTTGTAAACCTATTCGGTTGGTATATTATTCTCAAGCCTCCCCAGGAAAAGGTGTGAAGGGGGTTGGGAGGATATTTTGCAGAAACAGGAACTCCTTTTCCTAAATCTTTGTCTAACTCACTTGGTGGTGGCAGCAGTACCCATCCAAGGACAAGGAAGGATTTGTGCCTTGGAAAAGTTTTTAACCTAAGTTGGTGGAATATAAGCTTAGGGGGTCTTTCATGTGGGTCCCCACATCTGTACCCCAGATTCAGAGTGGGGAGGGAACCCTGACAGTGGCAGTGACCATTACAATTGCAGAAGTGCTTTGGCTATGCTTAGCCCTCTTTTCAGTCTGCCTCAGAACACAAAGCATTTTACCTGCATGGTATGTGTGAAATCCCGGAGCTGCTTCCTGATCTCTGCCCAGCCCTCCTCATCCAGCTTGCTAGGATAGAGCAGCAGATGTTAATTACAATCATATATACAAAGCCAGACCATCCCTAAACCATGGGGCTCAGCATGGCCACCAGACATGCTACTGCCTTTTCAGCACCCCAGAAAGCATAAATTTCAGATCATCTTCCAGAATGATTCCCTGTATGGCTGCAGAGCACATCTCTGTTCCTTCACCTACCTGGGCAATGAGAGTCACAGGTCCTACAACTTGGATCTCTGCTGGGGTGGCTGGATTTGCCCTTAGTTTACATCAAACAGACATGAGAAGGTGCGGAAATAATCATTAACCTGACTCAGTAGGGCTGAACTTTGTGGGGAAAGAGGTGAGAGGCACAACAAATCAATAGCGTAGCTAGTGGAGTTCAGGGGAAGCGGCCGCTTCCCCTGACCACACTCCCCAAAAGTGGCACCTGCGGAATGGGACCGTGGGCTGGCTCCCGGCACTCCGGCCGGCCGGCGGAATGGGGCCGCAGGCTGGCCTGCTGGCTCCCGCCTCCCGGCGCTCTGGCCAGCCGGCAGAACGGGGCCACGGACTCCCGGCGCTCCGGCCGGGACTCCGGCCCTGAGAGCGTGGCCGGGGGTCTTGGTGCCCCGGACAGCGCTCCGGATGGGGAAGTGGGGTGGCCCTGCGCATGCGCCGCTCCGTCTTTCGGCGGCATTTCGGCGCATGCGCAGGGCCGCCGAAATGCCACCAAAGGACCGGCGCCTTTTTTCTCTGCTGCTCCTCGGCTGCAACCCTGGCTACACCACTACAACAAATGCCAAACACTAGGGCACAGCTACACTCGAAACTCCAAAGCACTTCCGCGGGAGCACTCCCCCAGCAGTGCTTTGAAGTGCGAGTGTGGTCACAGCGCCAGCGCTGGGAGAGAGTTCTCCCAGCACTGCAGGTACTCCACCTCCCCGAGGGGATTAGCTTACAGCACTGGGAGAGCAGCTCCCAGCGCTGAGGCACTGTTTACACTGGTGCTTTACAGCGCTGTAACTTGCTGCGCTCAGGGGGGTGTTTTTTCACTGTGAAGTGCCAGTGTAGCCATAGCCCGCACTTAATTCTTTTTGTGCTTCTGCACAAATCCACTCATTCTAATGTGGAGTGTAAAAAACAGTGACAGATGAGCTAATTATGAAGAAAGGCAGCCAAGCCATGGGAAAGTTCTTCCTATTCTGTCCTGGGCTGAATAAGCAAAATATAGGTCACATCTGATGGCCAGGGGATTTTGATTATATAGAAAGAATGGTATGAACTGAGGAATGCATTGTGTTCAAACTCTGTAGCCCATATATAAGTTAAAGACTTAATTGGGACTGAAAGAGCTCCCTCTGGTGTCTGTGTTAACTGGGAAAAATAGATGACTTTCTGGAAGAAGGGGACTGTAATTTTATATAAGTAAAATTGTTAAGAGATCAAAAATAACAGCAAAATACATATGTCTAAATAGTAATGGGAAATACAGCAATGACTCTCAGTGAAACAACTCTGTTAACTACATGCATTTGCAATGTTGTAGCTGTATTGGTCTCAGGATATGAGACACAAGGTGGGGCGGTGAGGTAACTTCTCAACAGAAGTTCATCCAATAAAAAAATATTTCCTCACCCCCCTTGTCTCTCACAATGTGCATTGTCAGGCTAGTAACAGGAGGGAGATCGTGGCGAGGATGTAAACATCAAGATACAGAAAATAAACGTCATTACAAGTGTGGATAGAACACAAGCTTCTAAAATAAACTTAACAGGAAGATTCATCACTAAGGTCCAGATTCTGCTACTTTTGTCCCTTATTCCTCAAGTAGTCCCATTGCAATGAATGGATGCACTCAAGGATTAAAGTACTGCTCAGCATGGGAAACAGTGGCAGAATCTGGCATAGAGCTCCACATGGACTCCTCCTGAGGGTCGAAATGACAGTCTGGACCTATACATAGAATGCTTCCGCCGACGTGCAC